CTGCTAGATGTAAAATACAATTAAATTCCAAACAAAAGACTTCAAATGCAAGAAGGCATTTTCCTCACAGAAGTCATATGCTTTAAGGTAATCTGATGATGCTTTGGGGACCTTTGGAGAGTTTGGAATTGCCAGGACTTATGTATAGAGTGCGAAACCTGAGTTCACACCTTGTATTTTGAGAAAGTGGAATGTGCATCCCAGGGACTTGTAACAGATTGGGCCAGCTCTTGGGCTAAATAGTACAGACAATAGGGATTCTAGACAAGCAAAAACATAATAGTTAAGATCCACGGTGTCAAATCAAAATGAATTTTGGTAGCAGATACTGAAGACTGTACTGATCCAGCATTTAGATTTTGCTTTCTGTGCTAGGACAGAGGCAGGTTGTACAGTTCTGCTCCTCATGGGAGAGATGCAATTTTCTCTGGTTCTTTCCTCAATTTCAATCTTGGAAAGAATGGATTTTTTAAAACCACCAGCATTCCTTAAAAATACCTATTTCAAATGGAAAATCAGTACTCCCATACATAACATGGAATGATCCTTAATGTTTTTTTACTGGAACTTACTGACATATACAGCAGGACAGTCCATTTTAAAATGTAGAGCAATGTTCTACAAGTCCACTCAAAGAACTGTATTTCATGTTGAGAATAACATGCATTTCCGTACTTGGAAAACTTTTGTGAATGTTTTATAATGTGGTAGGAGTTGATAAATAGAATTGCTAAGACAGATGCATCACTACATTGGCAAAGCTGAAAAATTTGCATCATGAAATTGTGGGTAGCTTTTCCTTCATGTGGGATGGGAGAGTGCAGAAGACTAGACCCAAAGTCCTGTGTCTGTCAATTTTCTATCAGTTAGATGATAGTATCTGATCCATCCTTCACTGGCAAGCCTCCGCACTTGCTTTAGGAGCCCTTTTCTGTTTATCAGATTGGGAAAGTCCTGTCTGACCTCTCTGATCTGCCAATCATCTATTAGAAATGTTCTGAGCCCTAGAGGTTATCTTAGATGGTTGAGCTCATGATACTGCTTAGAGTGACATTAAGAGGAAATCATGAAATTGCAAGCTCACGTAAAGCTCACCTAAATAACTGTTTCTGTCCGATTCCTTTTACTAGTTATAATTTTAGTCACTTGTGTGTGCCTACTATAATACTTTATTTCATTGCTTCATCTACATGATTATATTCGGAGTCTCCTTCTGTACAGCGCATGATGCTAAATGTGATTTATTGGACCCATTGATGTTTTCTATTAAGTGTTTTTTGATGAGCAAGTTGAGCCGCATTGATAAATGCAATTCCGAAACAATGTGTGGCTTTTTATTCTGTTTTTTGAGTTTGGTTTTGTTTTGGTTTTTGTTGTTAACCAGACACGATACTTAATTATCCCTTAATGTTACTGCATTGGTACACAAGCATGTGCAACTGTTATCCTGAGCGTAGTAAGAGACAACTAGAAAGTATGAAACCATATGAGAGGCAGGAAGGGGGGCAGTGTTCACTTGAGAAATCTTTCTTTCAGCCCTGCATTCCAAACCCTAGACTGAAAAAAAAAAAATATCAGTATTTGTATGAGTATTATTGTCAGGCTGAAAAGGCCAAACCTTTCACTCTTCTTCAGTTGTAGAGTTGTAAGGATTCTTCACAAATGCACATCCATGAGCAGTTCTTTTTCAGGTATTTAATGCTGTATTGCTGAATCCATCTGCCCTGGAGAGATCTGCAGATGGCAGTCACCACTTTTATATTTTTGAGCATTTCTTCTTCATTTTGAGTGAGATAGTAAGTTGAGTAAGAGAGTGAAAGAATTTTCAATTTGATGAGCCTTAAAGCAAGTAAAGCGTGCCTAATGGTCATGTTTCTCTGTAGGTCTTAATGGAGGGTTTTTTTTTCCCCAGACATCTCTTTGGATAAATGCTAGGGATCTTAAAATCAGGTTTTGAGAGGCCAGTGTTATGAGCAGGTAAGGTAGCAAGACCCTGTAAGCTTCATTTCTTCAGGCCCTTCTTTGCCGAGTTTTAGTGACAAAAAGGAGTGAGCTTACCCTAGGATTTTAAGAGCACATATTTCTAATAGAACTTGGCAGTTCAAGGGCTAAAGAAGCATTTTAATCTTTTGTGCCCACCCAGTCTCCATACAAATGTAAATATGTCTGTCTTTAACAATTTGCCAAGAAATGTGGTTTTAATTTGTTAGCAGCCGTCCCACTCCCTGCAGCTCTTTCAGAGTCAAGTCACAAGTCTGGCGGTGCTTTGACGTTTTTCTCTGTCATGGTGTCATTGTTTATATGATGTCTGCTTCTGCTGTCCTCCTTTTTATGCCTGGAATATTTTTCTTTAATTATTTCACTGCCTAAAAGGAATTTGGGATTACTAGACAGGATGAGAGCAGATTAGCTTTTTTTCTTTCTTTAACAAGTCCTGAAGTTCCCATAGGAAATAAATAGTATTCCCAAAACAGACAGTGTTTTTTATTTTTTTTTAATTAACTAAAATTATTAAGTCTAATAAAGAAAATAAAGGAAGTATCACCAATAATGGCTGAGTGTCTTAGTAGTATATGGAGTGCCCATTGTTGTTATTTATGACTCTCTCTGCCTTCTATTGTGGACTTATTCCAGCCTTAGGGAGTTTACATCACTCCTAATAGCAAAAGGCTCTCTGGTTCCCACAGAGTCTTTCAAAGACTGACTCATATGCCTTATGTTAATTGTTCAGCTCTCAAAATACAGCACTTACAGGGTGTGGTTCCAAGGGGAAAATCTACTGTACTTAGAGGGCATGTTCAGAAGTGTTTCACATATAAATCATTCTGATTTTTAATTTTTTTAATGCCTTAACCCTTTTCTGTCACTGCTTTATGTGATAAGTTATTTGAAAACAAAATAAAAGGTTGACAATGGCACAGTGAGGGAATGTGTTAGTCCTTCAGCTCTGGACCATTGACTCCAGTCTGACTCAACTCACAAGTGACGTGGCTTCATCATCTTTGCCTCTCTCCAGGGTCTGCTCTTCACACCGTGGCGTGACGATACACTCCAAGCAATGAACGTGCACTGTTTATAATCAGATGCAAGTTAGAACTGGGGTTTATTGCTTATCTGCAGTAGTGATTACGTGCGGGCAGGAACTGTCCCCAGTCCTCCTGTGGGTTTTGTACAAAGTGGTACTTTCCACGCGTTGCTCACCACATCTACAAGGATTGCTTGTAGGATTGTAGTGGACTGGCGATCCTGTCACGGTCTGCTGTGTCAAGGACTGAAGAAGATTTAATAGAATTAGCCTTACCAGTTACCATAAAGCATAAATTCAGATGCTTCTGCTTGTGCTGCTGTTTTCTGGCTAAGTAAGAGTGCTCTCCAGCTGCTTTGATGCAGCATGATTGTGCAAGATCCTCCAGCCTGCGTTGTGTTAGTGTTACTGGAAATCAGAATAGTTTCTACAGACTTTACAGTTAAGAGTACGGCTTCTTTTAAAATAGCAAAGCTCTTGAATATCTTAATAATATTCCCTTCTTTAATAGTTTACAAAATATGAAAATGTATTTAGTCAAATTAGGAGAGTCCATACCTCTAACAAGAATAGAAGGAGCAATTAATCCCTCAGATTAAACTAGTTAGGCTTGATTTCTGAGATTGAAATCACATTGCATGTATGTCTCGTGTCTTCTGCCTGCTGTAAACACACGTGTTGCACCATTAGTGGACAGAGCTTCATGCATCTAGCAATACACACAAACACGTTTGTGTAATTTGCCTCCAAAAGGAAGGCTCCACACAGCTATAGTTTTTTAAACTGTCAGAATGACTTTATTTCTCTGCCTGGCTACCCTCTTTCTGCTTACAAAATAGAAAGTTATTTTCACTGGCTTATTCTTCTGGAAAGAGTGGTGAGGTTTACCCTCTCTCCGTTAAAATAGGAATAAAAATTAAAATGGGCAGGACTTAATCCCCTGTAGGTGACAGGTTCCTGAGCGGTCATGTACACGCTTTGGCCTTGCTCCTCCACAGTCCTCCTCTACTTTCTTCAGTTCTTTCATACTGCCCAGCTCCAGTGTGCTGGCTTCATAGTGCAGAGCAAGAAACTGTATGAATAAGCACTCCCTGCGTTTGATGAGCCCTGATCAGAAGTTGCATCATGCAGGCTGATGAAGAAAAATGCTACCAAATAAAAGGAGACGCACAAAGCATCTTCTCTTCTTGACTTTGCCACGTTTTTTTCTCTCCTTTCCGTAGCCTCAGAGATAATGCTTTTTTGAAGTATGTGGTAGTTAATAGCGAAGTCAGTAAATGGCTCTTCTCTCATTGAGATTGTTTCCTTGTGAAAGGAAATGCTCACAGCTTGAAGAAAAAGAGCATTTTCCTTCCCTCCCTCTCGCCCCAATCTCGTATTATATAAAACCATGGTGCTGCTGTTAGCTGAGACCAGAAAGAATTCCCTTGTTGTCCTGTGGTAGCCAACTTCTACAAGCTGTGAGCGTTTGAATGTTAGTATTAAAAGTTTTAACCCTTGCCTTCTTATATGAGCAAATAACGCTCTGTATATTTTTTTGTAAGTATGGAAAATTATGGGAATTCTTCTGAGAATAAGTGTATAGACCACTGCGCCAGTCAGTCTCTTCAGAAAAAAACCTGACAAACATGCTCCTGTCTGCAAGAGAGATTCCTGGCATTTGTCACAGTTTGAGCCACAAAGATGTCAAATATTTGCCAACAGTTTCCTCAGACGGTTTGGAAAGCTACATCCTTTACATTGCAGCCTTGTTTGTTTGCGGTATATTTTAGCATATGAAATATGTTCGTTGGGAGTCTGAAAGGGGAGGGAACTGACTAGACTACCAAATATTAAAAGATTAAAAATAATTCTGTTTCTCTTAGACTGCTCAGATCAAAATAATAAAGAACATCTGTAAGTCTTAGTATTAGAAATGGAGTCTTATGTTGAATAATAGCTTGATGTTTTAAACCTGTATTTTCTTTTGGAGCAGAAAGAAGAACTTTCCAATGGGACGTCTGAATATTTTACGGAGTCTGCTGAGAACAAGAAGCTTAAGATTAGTCTGAATGAGCAGACAAAGCACGACATCTTGAAAGAAATGTATGTAACTATTCTTTCTAAGGCGTTAAATTTGTAATCTGGTAAAATTTTGCTAAATAGAATCTAGCCCATGTAATAAAATTTCAAATAATATAAACTCCTTTATGAAAGATTATTTTAAATTACTAAGAAACTACTTAGTGTAGCATAGTTTATTTACTCTAGTGTGGATATGATCATCATTGTTTTGTACATCATTGTTTTGTACATCAATGTTTTGTACAGCATGTAAAAAGCTATTACAATCCACATCTTGCATAGCACTAGGCAGAGTAAAAACAGGGTGTTTTTTCCTTGAATGAAGCTCTGAGCCAAAATAAACGTGATGTTAGAATCTGGTGAAAAACACCAGATTTTGTTCATTTTGAGAGACTGCAGTGTACCGCTGTACTAGTCTGGATCTTTGGTCACAATTAAAGTGTGTCCCTCATGTAGTGCATGGAGAGGGTTAGTTGGTCAGCTGAACATTTCACTGGCCCTCTGCTGTACGAGGATGCCATTCTTACTTGTGCAAGCTGCCAGTAGCCCCAAATCAAGTGTGGAATTGGGGATTTGCTGTGAGCCCTGGCAACTTTCCTTTTTACCTGTGTTGTCTCATCTGTATTGTCTTTAGAAATGAGATTAGATTTGGAGGTACGCCGCCTCTACCTATTTTGAGGAGACCCCTTTCTGAAGAGTTAGATATGCTGACCTGGGAACTGCTTGGCATCAGCAGAGCAGCAGTCTCAGCATGGGACAATCTATAGCAGTATCTTCAGACTCAAAGTCTTACATGGGCAGCTACAATACTTGTGGATAAAGTTCATTTTACAGCCTATGTGAAATCTAAATTTCTAGGTAACACACTGCTGAGGAGTGTTTATGTACTGACACTCCATCATGTCCCTTGTGATTCCTATTCCTTTAGAATATCATCTATTTGCATTACCTAAGTCCTTCCCAGATGAATGGGCTTGATATTAGATGAGTAGTGGTTAACTTTAAAGTAATGCTTTGAAATGTCCTGGGAAAAATTCCAGAGGAACATTCTAAAATAGAGATTAGAAACTCTCACACAGACACACACACGCTGGCTCTCCGTGCCTGCCCCCCTCTCTTCTTTAGATACACATTATGCATGTGAATATATGGGAATGGTTTGAAATCATTTAGGCATTTATGAAATACTATTTTATCTAGGCTGTTTGGGAAGGAATTCAATATACTTATGCAGTGTTGACCTTTAACATCTGTAATGAATCCAGTTCTGCCTCTTGGAATAGAATGAGAACTCCTTAATGGCTTAGTCATTAATAAATAGGGTTCCCCTAGTGCACTGGAAAATCAGATGGATAGCACTTGATATTACCCATGCTAGACAAACATTACTGCTTGTCAACGTGATATACAGGGCTTTTTTCTGCATTCAGAAAGAGGGTTGCCCTGGTGGTGTTTCAGAGTTTATAAGAAGGGAGGATTGAGGCAGTGAAGATTCTTTATTTAATTTAAAAACAAAATTATTTTTTATTGCAGTGTGAAAAGGACAAAACCAAGGAAATGTAGCACAAGCAAACCTCAAATCAGCAAGGACCCCAAGAAAGTGTATCTTGGCTCAGTGGACTCACAGACAGGGAACAGAAAGAACGACTGTCAAACATCTCTCAGTCCTCAATCTGAAGTGAAATGTAGGAGTACAGGACAGCTAAAGGACTGCATAACTACAGCTGAGAGCAGCTTGGAGCTTCCTGTTTTAGAGCTGGAAAATCATGTTAATCGGAGACAGCCAGATGATGTTAGCAGCCAGCAAAAACCTCACTCTGTGGAGTGGTTGAAGTCAAGTCTTCTAAGCGAGAACCCCCCTTGTAGCTATGAGTCAGCACTGCTAGGTCCAAAACAAAGTCAAAAAGTGACCAAAACACAGGCTCAACAAAAGAGCTGTGCTTCAGAAGAAAACTTCTGGAAAAAAGTGTCCTCTGAAGGGGCTTCTTTAATTCCTAGCGATACAGAAATGAGTAAATACAGTGATGATTGTTTAGGTCCATTCCTGGAGGAGAAGACCCCGCTTGATTCGAGATTGTTTTCTAAACAAAACATGATAAAGAGTACCACGTCTGATGAGGAGTCACTAACTTTGGGAAAAAACCTCTCCCGGCCCCTTTCTGAGAGGAACAATATTGTACAGACAAACAAAACTGAGCCAAGCACAACCATAGAAGAACTGCCTGGGATGCCATCATCTTGTTTAGAACTGCAGCCTGAGTCTTCAGAGAAGCTTGCCCAAAAAAGAAAAAAAGAAGTTGAAAATGGTCTCAGGAAGTTAAAACTGCGAAGGCTTAAGAAGTAATAGAGTCTGAAATATTACCTTGATGGCATGGATGGACAGCCAAATTTGTGTTTGGAAAGTATATGCAAAAAGTAGGGAGCAAATAAAAATATTGAACAATAATAAAAATGCAAAGGCAAAATTAGATAAAACTTTTTAAGGAAATTCAGTCAACTAGAGTATCTTAGTCATTTAGAACTGTAATGAAGGTAATTCTGTCAAGTCTTTTGCAATTAGTGATAAATATTGTACGAACTAGTGTAATATTTATAGAAAGAAAAATTTCTTATAAAATTATATTTATTAAGCAAGATTTTAGATCTATCTATGTTTTAGTACCATTAAAAAGTCACATCAGCTGATGACAGCAAAAGTTAAAACTGCTTTCATGATCTGTTAGCAGCTGCAGTTATTCAGCGTTTGGCTTGTTTCTGAACCCGTAGTTTATTTTAATAAAAATTAATCCTTTCTTTCTCTGTGTTAGGAAGTTCATGGTTTATTCATATGATCTTTACAACAGTAAGGCAAACTGAGGTTATTTGAATAAATCTTTAACCAGGATTTAATGTTGCTGATAATTTGAGGCCCACCTTTTCAGTGAGGTTTCAAAATAACTATAGTTTGTGCTTGTGCAGTTTTGATGCACAACAAAACGAACAATACGCAGTATAACCAATGTGAACCTGTAACAACTAACCAGTCGTTAGCACAAGTGATCATGCATTCGGTCCTTGGAAAAAAGAATATTAGTTTTATATATATGTAGTCACCTGGATGTGCAATATTGCTGTTGGGGAAAGTTCCTCATCGTGCATTCATGTTTCAAAATCAGGCCTTTTAGTCTGCAATGACTGTTTTTCTGTTAGCGATACCCAAGTTATTTCCTATTTTCAGATAGAAATAGTATTTAATTGTAGTGCTTTTTAACCCTGCTTTTGTAACTTGTATACTAACGTGCTAAGGAAATGTAACCTTTTATTTCATGCTTATCTTTTTAAAATGTTTAAAATAAAATTATAAGCAATTTTCTTTCATCACTCTCTCAAAAACATCTTATGTGAAGCAATTTTGAAAAATCCTACTGACATACACTTATCAGTGTGGATATCCTCTTTTAGGTTAAGATGAAGCTGCCCATCCATAAGCATTAGGTTGGTGGTGTAATGCAGGTCCTTAGGAGAGTTAGCAGCTTAGCAGTTGACAGCAAGACGCTGCCAATGCAGCATCTTTCTGCTATAAACACTTCTGTTTTTGCGATAAATCAAAAACATTCTGCATGCCTGCTATAAGCCATTTTCTCTTTTTTCTTTCAGCCTGTTTGTGTGCTGTTTCTCACGGTGCTTTGCAGTAGTTAATGCTTACCAATCTTCAGGCTCTGCAAAAACGTCTTTCCTAATAACAAGCAAAACCGAGGCTGCAAATGAAGCTGGGTATGGAGGAAGAATAGCCTCAGGTGTGTTTACTGTTGTCTTTTGTATGGGCACGAGATACGGGGCCAGGAAGGGAGTAAAAAGCACCTTTTTGATGGATTTAGGAATAAGGGCATTTAATTAAGTATTTATCAGTTTGTATTAAAGTTTTAGCATGTATTTCCTGGATGCTTGCTGTTCCAAACTCGCAATCACACCAATTGTATGCGTGAAAATTGGGGATGGTCTTGAGCAAGTACGCCCCAAACTATTACTGCTAACAGTTTGTGATTCTCAAGCTTCCCTTCTGGCTTCACTCCTCTCCAGATCCATTTAACTTGAGTGTTAGAAACCAGAGGGCAACCACATAGGTAGTTTGTATCATCGCATGCTGTTATTATATATAGTTCAACCTTATAATTACAATTTAGTTTTAATCTGAACTGAATAACATACCTGCATGCACCTTACAAAAGAATGTCATACATTCGTAGGGGACTGAGGTTAAATCATTGTCTACATAGCCAAGAACACTTGATTTTTCCTTTAGGATATTTTGCTATGTTGCTTACAATGCTGTTTCCCATAGCCTTGCTGATAGCATGGGAACATCCTCTTTTTCAAATGGTGATCTTGTAACAGTAAGAAATGTAGGGGTAGATTGATTAAAGCTGTTAGAGCCTAGAGAGTCAGATCAAATACAAGTGGGCTTTCTCAAGAGCTCGTAGTTGTGTCACTCTGTTGTAGTTACCCATGCATTAGGTTCCTTGGCTCTTTGTAGCCATGTGTTTAGAGCTCAGTTACTTTAAAAGGTTGTCTCCTGGATCCTCTCAGAAAGGCAGTTATTCAGGGAAAAAGTTTTGAATTCATGGTCATTTCTGGATTTTAGATGGTGTCGCTGCTCAAAACTCTGCTTTCTTTTGTCCGTGCAGTAGGACTACTCTAACAGTTTCCCTTCTGCAAACCTTCTGGGTGTTTTGTATGACGCTGTGACATCCAGGCTCTATCCTTACCATATGCCTCTGTTATCTCGGTACTTTAAGCCCAAGATTGTCTTCTCAGTCTTTGCATTTTTCTTTATCTACAACTCACCTGCACCCAGATCACAGGGAGAGGTGTGCTCTGACATGCTCTTAAACCACAAACCTGATGTTCTAAATCAAGTTTGGGGGGAAAAAAAAAAGAGGCTGGAAACTGAGCTAGGGTAAAATTAGCAACTTGCAAGCCTTGGCCTTGGCATTCTGTTACCAATTTGCTTCAGAGCAGCATTAGCATACCTTTCTGTTAAGAGTAATAAATATTTAAGACTGTTCTGTTCTGAAACTGCCATTGAAGCACAGAAACTAATTCTTTAGTTCATTTTTTTTTTTTATGTGGATTTGTTTGTTGTATTGGTTTGGGTTCTTTATTTTCAGAGCTGCTTTGAACTCCTCTAAAATATGTGTAGATCTGAGACTGGCTAAAGCCTGCAATGCAGAGTTTACATTGAAAAATACATATTTGTCTTAAAGAGGAACAACTGTCTGTTCCAAACCAGGCAGCTTTGGTGGGTTTTTTGGTGCTTTTTTTTTTTTAATGAATCCTCTGGTTGATTTGGTCTGTGCTGTTCACTGATAGTGAAACAGCCCCTTCCTAGCCAAACACTTTCTAATGTGTGCAGGCTATCGTTTTCATTATTCTTTACATCAAAGTACTTAAAAAATATTTGTTTACTTAACTTTTGTGTTTAAACACACATCAAAAGCTAGACCAGCCTTTTATATGTTTGTTTATAAAGAGGAAGCGGGCTGATGTCAAATCTCCCTTGCCCAGTGTTGGTCGGTAGGAAGGTTCTAACTATCGCAAGAGTTATTTTGAGCAATAAGCTTTGTGCCAGTTGTGATGTTATCTGTCAGGGTGCAGTTGGGCACAGGGGCCCTAGAGCAGATGTTGGCTTGTTGTTGCAATGGCCAAGCCGCATTTCTGTGTTACACTTGGCTTCAATAATTTGAAGAGCACCTGTTTCTAACGAAAAAGGAAAATTTTAAGAACCAAAACGTCCCTTGCTGCAGAAAGTTTTGCCCGAGTGAGGTGTTAAGGAGCCATCTGAAGGCGTTTATTTTGTCAGTGTGACCCTCTTGCTGCTCTGCATGTGGGGCTCATTGCCTGAGTTGTAATTGACATTTTTATATCATCATCTCATTGGCTTTTTCCCTTAAAAATTGTTTATTTTTAAGGGAAATGAGGGAGGAAATATTTTTTTTTGTTTGCAATTTGAACAAAAACATTGTAAAATGTAGCGAGACTATCCCAGATTGCACGTCACGAGCCGTTATCTCCTGGCCCATATCAGTATCTAATAAAAGGGTTCATGCTGTATTAAAACACTCTAATGCAGGCTTGAGCAAACAGTTAATAGTATCAAGAGTCTTTTAGCCAGCGGTGGGAAGTGTGGGTTGGCCTCAGAAATTAGCTTTAATAAAAGGCACTCCTCACTTCTTTGCTTTCTGCTTTTTTCTTCTCTAATAAGCATTAAGTAGCATCCAAACCCCGATGTGAACAAGATGGTGTGGGATGGGGGAGCAGCAGCACACGGAGCCTTTCATCAAAGGGATATCAAAGCGTTCTGCAGCTGAACCTGGGAGGAATATGCATATGCTTATTTTGACAGTTGGGGCAGCGCTGAGGGTAAGCAATTTCTTCAAGGTAAAGCAAGCTGGTTAAGGAACTCCCACTGCAAATTCTTTCATCAACTCGTTCAAGCATTTTTGAACACAGTTCTTGTTCGCTCCTTTTTCCAGATACTTTTAAATGGAACCTGGGTAGTGTGTGACCTTTCCGCGGTGGCAGTAAGGTGGCATTTTCAGATGTGGACTGTTTGTTTGGTGTTGGCTTATGCTGAGAAATCATAAGAGAGTTGTGAAAATGATGTAGTGTCACAGGGCATTTCAGCTGTAACCTGGAAACTGTCCAGGGAATTAACCTCCACCACCCTACCTCGTTTGCTATCCATTTCAATTATTTCAGAGCTGGGAATTGGTTCCTGTGAGAGCTGACCGTGCACCTTTTTTGAATGACAATTTCACTGATTTGCTCCTGGTCTGTCAAAGTTAGATCCTTTAGTGTAGATGAGACAGAGTAACCCAGTAGAAGGAATTGGTAATCTACTCTATAACTGCTTTATTTGATGCCATAATAATTATCTTTTTGATTTATGCATCAGATCTTTAAAGAAAAGTGTCTTGAGCTATAATTCTAGAGATGGGCATGCACCTTTTTAATATTAACATGATCTCATAGTGCTAGAATGAAAAGAATAGAGATGTATTTCTCCACCCTGTAGAGAAACTGGTTGAAACAATTTGCACATCAGAGGGAAGGCGCTCACTGGAGGATCTGGGCTGGAACTCAGGCCTGACGCCCTGTCTGATACCACATGGCTCCAGCGCTGCCCCAGTGCGAGGTAAGCCCTCTGCTGAACCTCCATCTGGTGGCCAACAGACCGCTCTCAACCTTCACCACTTTCCTCCTCCTCACCCCCAGAAATTGGAATTGATCACTGCACAGCTGGTTTACTCCTTTTTCCCCTCTTTTTGGAACAATATCTACCTTTAAATGCAAACTCTGTGTGCACTGGTGTCAATGCTGAAAAGGAGGAAGTTGACAAACTCTTAAATATTCTTTAATGTTTTTGCTGTGTTTAGAAAGGGGAGGGGGAGCTTGCACAATCACTTCCATCTTCTGGGGAGAAAAAGGCTGAATTTGGTACTTCCCCTGCCAGAACTTCTCATCTTTGCGTACGCTAATACATTAAGCCTCTGCCTTGTGCCTTGGTGCAGAGGGACCCTGGGTGCTGGATGGCTGAGGAGGCAGGGCTGAACTCTGCAGTCTTTTGGGAGCAACAGAGAGCGTACCCTTGTACGTTTGGTAGCTTGGCAGAGGGGTGATTAATAATATTAACTCTTGGTGTGTGGGTGCGTCAGCTGGTGTGAGAACAAGTGCTGTTTCTGTGGAGAGGAACGCAGCTTCATCAGCACCCTTGCTTGAAGATGCCAGTCTCGTGTTCAGGCCCTGCTGGGCTGGAGATGTACAAGCACGAGCCAGCCGTCATTGGCTCCTACTAGCAATGCAGACGGAGCTGTTCCCCAGGCCGTCCTTCCCCCAGTGCCATGAATATCTTGGCGCTCAGGCTGATGTAAGGTGCACCATCAGCAGCTTTTTGCCGGTTCCCTCTCCATAAGATGGGCCCTTTCCATGCGGAGGTGCAGCAGCTTTGATGTGGCTGCGTTCAACTCGAGCTGAACCAAACCCAGGTTCGGCAGGTTCCATTAGCTGTTGGTAGAGCAAAGCTGAGGGCGCTAAGGGGAGAATTATTTTTATTTATTTTATTTTATTTTAAAGCCTCTGTGTTTAAATGGGAGCTCAGGAAGCACACATCTCTCAGTTCTTAGATGAATAAGGATCCAAAGAACAAACACACAGTAGCAGCGGGAAACTTCTCCTGACTAAACAGAATGTATCTTCCCAGAGTAGTAAACTGTGAACTGGCAAAGTATAATTTCCACAAAAATAAATGTGCCTTGGTATTTTAATGGGAAAGCCTTAAACTTCATGTTTCTATTT